AAAACCCCCCAACTCACCACTCCTGCCAGTGGGGGGTGATCCCCACTGTCCTGGGCCATGTGGGGGGCTCTGCATGAGCCCCCTGAAACCCCGAGGCTGCTGCAGGAGCAGTGAGTCCTGGGGCTTTTCTCTTTTTTTTCTTTTCTTAAAGGACTGGAGCTGGCCCAGGCAGGGTACCATGGGGGAGCTGGGGGAGTGAGGAGGGGAGGTTGGAGGGCTTGTGCAGAGTCCCCCATTCAGCGTGGGGCAGCCTGACAGCACCAGGTGAACACTGGGGCTGTTTTTTTTTTTTAAACCCCAGGAGCTGGGGCAGGCAGGGCAGCCATGGGGGAGCCTGGGGGATGCGGGCAGGGGTTGGGGGGGCTGGGTAGTGGGCAGGGCTTGTGGGGGCTGGCAGGGGTTCCCCCATGGTTCCCACCATGCTCCTGCAGCCCCCCCCTCCGCTGCCCCTAGTACTTACCAGCTCGGAGTTGGCTGCAGCCACTGGGGACTGCCCGAATCATCAAAGCTCTCCAAATCTTTTCTGAAGATTCGGAGAGCTTTGAATTGATTTGGACCTTTTAACTGGTCCCCTGATTCGATTTGGATTTGGAGATTCGGCCACCGAATCAGGTGAATCTCCTCCAAATCGAATCACCACCCAAAGCTTTGCACAGCCCTACTGTAAATCACCAGAGTGTTACAAGTAAGGAGATGCCTGGTGAAGAACTAGAGATCAGGGCTGTGCAGAGCTTCAGTCCGATTCAACCCGATTTGGTGGCCGAATCTCCGAATCCAAATTTAATCAGAGGACCCTTTAATCTCTCCAAATCGAACTGGAACCCTCCGAATCAATTCGGAAAGAATTGGAGATGTAGACACAGACACAGCTTTAAATGTTTTTTTTCCTACATACCTCTAGGTAGTAGGCAACTCATGAGTGCTGCAATGCTGGGATGCATGGAGTGTCCCACAGAAGCATGGGGGGACTCCCCAGCATACTCAGCAGCAGACTCAGAAGTGGACCAGAAGCACTTCCGGTCCACCAGGGAGCACACAGGGGGGCCCCTCTGTGCTCCCCTGGCTCAGCGACTGGTGCCTCCTGGGTTGGGGGGAGCACCTGGGGTCCCCCCACAGCTGATCACTGAGCTGGGGGAGTGTGGGGGCACCCCCTGCCCCCAGCGTGCTCCTCGGCGGACTCGGAAGTGGACCAAAAGTACTTCTAGTCCACTTCCGGGTTCGTTGCCCCCTGCACCCCTGTGGGATGTTCCATCCATCCCAGCATTGCAGCGTTCAGAAGCTGCGCTGGTACCTTGCTGGTATGTAGAAAAAAACATTTAAAGCTGTGTCTGTGTCTGAATCGCTCATTCTCCGAATCAGCATTAAATCTTCAGATTCAGATTCGACTGAATTGAATCAGGGAAAGTGATCCGAATCGAATCGCTGTCACTGATTTGTGCTGAATCCAAATCCGTATCTAATAGGGCCCACTTCGCACACCCCTATTAGAGATATTTTTAATATAAAGTAAAAAGATGAATTAAACGCCTGAAAGAAAGTTTGGAGGCTGAATGTTAGTTTATGTAATTGTCCACTCAGAATGGGCAATTACATGTGCAGTTAATGCACCTGCATTTTCTGTGCGGAAAATTTAGGTGCATTAAACTGCACGTGGGCGTGCAGCTTCACGTGTGTCTGGGTCAGGAGCAAATTAAAGCTGACAGGAGCAGCCTAGTCTAGGGCTGCTCCTGCCCTGCTCTACCCCCCTGCAGCCACAAGGGGGAGCTCCAAGCTCCACAGCTGCCTGTGTACCAGCCTTGGGCTTGCAGGAGCTCTGGAGGCAGACTTGGGGTTGGAGGAAAGGGTTAGGCCTGGGCTTCAGTGGGCCAGGACAGGAGCTCCGGGGGGCCAGGGTCAGCTCCTCCACTACCCCTAGGGGAGTAGCAGTTGTGGCCTCCTGCTGCCAGGGCTACCCTGGAGCAATTTGCCAGCATCTATACATGAGTTCTAGCACATTAATGTAAAGCTGCATTGGCTAGTACCTGTAACTGTCAGTAGTAGCAAACAGTGCTTTATACTAAACTACTGTGCAGTAATTGCTGCACATGTATACATGGTGATGCTTTACTGCACATTAAATTAGTGTTGATGTGCCCAAAGAGAGCAATATTGTGAAAACACCTGACATGGTGGCTTTGATAATGTAAGAAGGCAGGGTAGATTTGTACATTTATAGACTGACTAAATAAGATACATAGTGAGAGCTTTTGTTAACCCAAGTTCACTTCATCCGATGCTGTGAAAGGATGTGCAGAAAGCAGGGTATAAGGAGACAGAAATTAGAATACAACTGTGTTAAAATTGTATTCCAGTTTCTCTCTCCTTATATTCTTATTATACATCCTCTCACAGCATCAGATGAAGTGAACTCGGGTTCACAAAAGCTTGTGCTCTAGATATATACCTTATTTATTCTATGACGGTACATATATACCCAGATTAACATGGCTAACTACCTCTCTTTGATAATATGTGGCAGAAGGTAAACTCTAAAAATGGTTGACTCCAAGCACAAGCTAAGCAAATTCCTGCTACACCACCTGCTACACCTGCTACCCCTAAACTGCTAGCCATTGAATACCCTACTTGCACAGAGATAGTAGAGTTCTTCCCTTAAAAATAGTGCTTTTCCAATGTTTTAATCATACCTCTTTTTTCTTCTCAAGCATGTAAACTTTCTTCATTTTTGCAATCTTCTGTCGAGCTTGAGAAGAGCGACGGCCTGATGTCTTGGCTAGTGAAGAGGTCCAATAAGATCTAATTGAAGAGGCTGATGCTGAAGTACTACATGGTGAGGGGAGCCTAGAAAAGTTGTATATAAAGAATCTGAACGATCTCCCAAATGACATACCTTATTCTGTTGAAAAACTGAAACAATGAAACCTAAAATCCCAGGCAACGCACAGGATTGATGGAATGGAAGTTATGATGCAAAGCTGGTATTTTAGGGGGAAAAAAGAATAGAACAGATTAAAAAAAAAAGAAATTCCACTCTAAAGCTTAGTGCTAAAGCTTAAAAAACAGAACTAAAATACTGAAATATTTATGTTAGTCACTTCTGAGTCACTTAAATTCCTCTGTGCCATTTTATCAAGCTATAAAACGAGCATAACTATACTTCTTTCACAGGGTTCTGGTAAACATTCATTAAACATTCTTGAAATAAAATGCAGAGTATACACAGGCAAATTAAAAATGAAACTTGTTTGCAAGTTCTTACCTGACCTGAGAAACGGACATGAGTTGTTCATACAGCACCTCTTCATTTTGTGGTTTCAACAGCAGAAGTTTCAGTTCTTTCTTAAGTCGGTCAGACAGTGACCCAGACTGTGCATACTCCACTATGTCATACATTATCATTGTTCGGGGAAAATTTTCCAGAGATAACTTTCTCCAGTAGTTTTCCCTACCACCAAAGTGTGCAGGGGTCTCATCCAGGTTACTAACATACTACAATGGCACAAAGTAAACAAACTTTTACAATTTATAGAATCAACATCCATGTGAAAATTATTTATTTGGATTGGGGGGCTCTCAAATTTTCTTTATAAAAGATTTTATCATTCTTTTAATGGTCTGATTTAAATCACTTTGAATCTGAGCAGCTGTTCTAACTTGACTTTCCTTCACCATTCTTGTAACATACAAAGCTAAAATTTGAGGTATATCTATAGACATCTCTGCCTCCTCCCTTTTCTATAGCTGGGCTGGTAAGTCCCTCAGAATTTGGTCCTAATTTTTTTTAATAGGGAATAACCAGAGAGGTTTCATTCTGTTGGACATGATTCTCCTTGCATTTTTACCACTGTTAATCAGTATTAACAGGATAGTTCACTATGCGTAAGTATGTACAGAGGAGAATCAGAGCCATTCAAAGTACAAACAACACTAATGTTGTGGGTTTTTCAGGTTTTTCTTATACTCTTCCCATTGTCCTACCAGTACTCTATGCCTCTCCAATAACATCTCTGCAGCTTTTGGGCAGGAGAAAAGATATCCTACAATGGGATTCTCCACAGCCTTGAAATTTGCAGACTTATTTACAACTGTACAAACTGGATGTAAAACATTAGCAAAGCATTAAAAACAATTGTTCAAGGTTTCACACACTCTTTGCACTGATATAAATGAATGCATATGGTATAAAGCAGAGAGACATTAAGCCCATAAATAAGTGGCTGACTACTAAAATAAAATTACTGGCATTTTAAATTACATCATAATCTTTCTTACTTAAGGATGCTTCTTTTATTACCAGAAGCTGTAAAAAAAAATCCAAAAACGTTTCTTACTTGCATGTAATCCTTCACTGTAGCAACATCTATTTCACCTGTTATCTTGTGTTTTTGGTACTGAAGTTTATCTTGTATCATTTGCTCATAATATCTTCGACATCCCATCAGTTTACAAGCATCAACTGCTGCCTATAATAAAGTAGGAAACACAAAGTTGCTAGAATGCCATACACACATTCTGAGTGGAGTCTCTGTATTTGGATTCAGGGCAAACTATTATCCTTTGGACAACCCCCTTTCTCTAATGGAAAAGGCATTCTGTTCAGTGTATGGAGAGTTCACAGAAAGACTAAAGATCCAACACAACAGTAAACCAGTTCATTTAGATTAGAAAGTAACTCACTGGTACCACAGTTGGTTTGCTCACAGATGTATAAACTTATTGCAGTGGTTCTCAACAAAGTTGCCATGAAACTTTTAGGGGTGCTGCAGTGCAGGCACTACCACTGTGGCCTGTGGGTTGTTCTGCCTGCTCTTTCTGCAACCCTTTCTAATTTAGTCCTACACATTCCTTCTAGAAACAGAAGCATGTGGGGTAGATTCACTTAGTGGCAGCGCTGCAGCCTGAGGAAGCAAGAAACACAGATAAATTGGCTGTAGCCATTTCCTGATATGATTCTACAAGATGGAAGTTTCACTGAGCTATGGCGGTGGCATCACTCTGATTAAGACTCACTGAAACAAGTGGTTCTCAACCGGGGCAACAAAATTCAAATACTTATGGAGGGGTACCTTGAATCTAAAAAGATGAAAAACCACTAAGTTGTTATAATGAAGAAATATAAGATTTGTCTTTTGGATGAAAAAGGCAAAATTATTCAGCCACAAAATAACCCTTATTTTGTGTAAGATTTTCCATTTGCCTTGCCCTCCATGATATTGTTATAGCTGGAATGTACAGCAAATTGTGATCAGGATCTTCTTCAGATGCTGGATTTGTTGAAAACTTTCATCCCTTGATTCAAATTTTCTAGATGTAGTCTCTGCCTAAGGGTTTTGTTTTTTTTAAGTTAGTCTGCATAGAATGAATTGAGCTGTTCTCTGGCAATAGGCAAATTGTTGCAGAAGGTGACAGAGTTCTGCCAATGTTCACCAACTGGGGATCTGTTCTCTAGAGTGCAGAGAAACACATAACTCTCTCAGTAAACATTTTTAGTAAATGTTGCACAGTTGTAACTGGCCAGGTTTGTACCCTGGGTGCTAGTGGTCCTTGCTGCAGGAGCAGTGGCCAGAGGTCTGCAGGGGGAGATGCTACCTTCTTTTTTTTTGGCTGCTGCTGTGTTGAGCAAGCATTTAAATGCCAATTTTAGCAGTAAAAAAAGGAGGAAACATCTCCCTCAGCAGCTGGAAGTTCACTACTGCAGCTGTTCTTCCCTCCCTGCTGCAGGGAAGATGTGTGTGGGGGGAGGTTGAAAGGAAAGTGAAGCTCCACCTTCAGCTCCATTCTGGATCTGTGCTCTCTCCCCCTTAGGCAGCATCCAGGGCTCATGATCTACTCACCTACTTTTTCGAACAGCTTTACAGTGTAGTGTTTTGGATTAAAAACTTTAAACTAGAATGTATCCCAGGGTCTAAGTTTTGATTTTCATTACTTTGTGCATGCAGGCAGTCTTTCAACTTCTAAATGTTTGTTTTACAAACATGTAAAAAGAATATGTGTAGATAATGAATGTAGGTTGAGTGGAATTTCCCATTTTCAACATGCTTTGCTCAATCTTGCATCTTAAGTCTACGCATATTGTGTCTAAGAAGGTGAAATGGTTTGTGTGGAAAGCAATCAGGAAAGGGCTTCAAAAGTTACAGAGAGGAAATAATGTATAAGTCACACTTATTAAATACATTTACAGATGGAATCTGTAGGTACTGCACCAGAAAACCAGAGACCTTCTGTGTTTTCCCTCCCAACTGATTACTGCCTTCCCAAGGCAGAAATGGCTTACTTTAGGGGGATTATTTCTAAACCTCCTAGAATACAAGTGAAACTGATTATAAACAGGATGTACTTTCATTGTTCGTGCCCTCCTTTCCACTAAGGGTGTTGAGAAACTGCAATAACCAAAGTGATGAAAATAGAAGAAAATAGTGACTCAAATCTAAATGCAAAAGCAAAGGGAAGAAATTTCTTACAGAGTTCTAGTTCACAGAAAAAGACAGGTTTAGTCAAAAAGACACTAGTGACAAAGCAATATTTTCTCTTCCTTTACTTGAAATAAGAAGAGGTATGAGCCCATTAATTATAAACTCACCTGAGCATGTAGTAAGATCAGCAGGATCAGACCATTTAACATTTTTGACATATCACACTGCACAGTAAAATATCATCACTATTATCACTCATTTGGTGCATCATATAATGGTGCAATACTTAGCAGCACTGAGGGCATAATAGAACCATAAAATATTATATTAATTTTTCACTAATTTGGACATGGAATTATTACACTGGTGCCAATGGATCAGTTAAGACAGTTTAGGCTTTCATGAATGATGGCATGTAACCACTCTGTCCTGAAACCCTCTCTTCCTTTTGTTTACTAGTCCCCATTGCAGAATTGCTTCTAATTGGAAGCTGAGATAAGCGGCCTGCTCTGGGGCCAATAGTGATTTAAGATTCAATCAGCAGATGGTCTCAGAGAGACTAACCATTCTCTATGCACCAATTTCTCTGTCAACTGAACCCAACTCCCATGAAAGTGAATTAAAAGAATATTTTGGGCCCTGTGATCTTGAGATCCCCCAAAATTCAATCCAAGAATACCACAAAATCCTAATCTATTTGGACCAATTCTGTGAACTCAGATGGTAGAGGGGAAGATCTCTTTTAAAGATGTATAAATATGTGATTGATTAATCCACACAATAATTCATACAAAGATGTTTAAAATGTTTGTGTATTAAGCTGAAAAAAACAGCTTCTTTGCTAAATGAAATGTAATGGTGTTTATTGAACTCAACAGATCTTTGTTTGACTTGGAGATGCATGTTTTTCAATCTTCAAGGACAAGTAAGAGGATCAGGCTGTTTACCGAACTAAAGTTCAGAAGGAAGAAGCTGAACAGAAAATGATCGTACGTGGGCATTCAATAACTTGCCTCACTCAATGGACTTATTATTCTTTTCCCACTGATGTATTTGCTGCCTCGGCCTTCAGTGTGGCGAAAAATCTTAAAAACAATGAAAGGTGGAAACTCATGGCCTGCAAATCTGAAGAAATAAACAAATACGTTAATTAACTGACAGTATGAAAAACAAATGTATTATGGATTAAACTGAAAGGGAACCTCCTTTTGTGTAGCTTGGCCTGAAACCAAGTTTCCAACAAAGCTCTAAATACCAAGGAAGCAAAAGCTAAAGAATAAAATGTATTTATGGATCTTTTATACTGGAGGCACAGGGGTCTGCATTAATGTAACACCATCCAAGTAAACTGGAAGTCCAACATCCTAGGCTCTACTGAAGAATCTCAGGACTTAACTTGGGATGGAAAAAAATTCAACTCAAGGCTTTAGGTAAAAAAAGTGGAAGGCTAGGGAGAATGATGGGAAACATTAAAAGAAAAAAGAGCTATACTTTCTAAAGTGTACATTGGGTGTGTGCAACTATCTGAGATACATAAAACCAACCACTGTTTTAACAATACTGTCCCCAGTTAGACAAGTTATCTAACTCCTCTCTCAGAAGCCTGTAGCTGGTCACACGAGACACTGGATTGAAGTAAATAAAATGTATCTACTTACCTGAATCTAACTTTGTACTGCATACTAGGATCTTTTATAAGTTCAGCTTCCAGAGGGCTCACCCTTTTCACAATTTCATGTGTAACACAACACTCCTGAAAGAGATGCAGATGTTTTTCAATACATTTGAACAGTATGGGTTCCTGCTGTCACACAGTTCAGATCCTTGTGTCACAGGGGAGTTCAGAGTGGTCATTTGGATTCTGTTTCTTGAAATCTGTGCTATGGAAGGGTACTCTAGAGGTCATCCAGTCTAACCCCCTGGCTGAGGGAGGATCATCCCCATCCAAACCATCTCATACAATCCATGATCTAAACTTAGCATAATTACCACCAATCCTGATAGAACACGAACCTAACACCCTCAGGTGTCGCAGGTAAAGGTGGGGAACCACGGCAGTCTTTTTAATCTATTTACATGTATGTTTTTGCCTTCCCTCTTCATTTTCAAAGATTTTAATATTCATTTGATCATTTTAGATGTGTTTTATGGAAACATAAGGCAATACATCTCGTGCTATTTTAGTCCCTCCTTTTGTTCATAAGAATTACCCAAGCTGGATTAGGTGTTCATCACCATCTCTCTCTTTCTAGTTTTCCAATCTCTGCTACAGCTATCATGATTCTCATCCCCTTCCCTCTGCATCTCTCTCCAATCTGTTCCCTGTATACTACAACCTTTTCCTCTGCCTATTGGAGCAACAACACAGTGGGAGGCCAAAAGGGGAAGTGTTTTGTTTAGTGTAACAGACACGCATGAAGGACTAGAAAGAAGCAGAAAACAAGGAGCCTTGTCTGGCTCTGGAGCTTGTTTCTGAGAGCAATGGTGCAGCTGTGACAGTTCCAGCACAGCTCTGTTTCACTCTAGAGCAATGGGGGCTGAGAATCTGGCCTCTTGGGGCCCAGGGACCCTTCTCTGGCAAGTGCCTGTCTTCCTCTGAAGGACAACATTTTTCTTAACTTAGCCCCTCCTGGTATAGCCAGATGGCTGAGAGGCACCCAATGACCCGGAGTCAAATTACAGTGACTGCTGTATAGAATCATAGAAAATGAGGGCTGGAAAGGACTTCATCTGGTCCAACCCCTGCTCAAAGCATGACCATCCCCAACTATCTTATCCCAACCAAGGCTTTGTCTAACTGGGTCTTAAAAACCCAATTTTCTACAGGTTCTACAACTTCTCTGGAATATTCTGTTTGATTGTTTTACTACATTCTTGATGAGAGTTTTTTCTAACTTCTAACTTAAACTTCCCTTGCTGAAATTTGAGAACATTATTCCTTGTTCAGTCATCTGCCACCACTGAGAACAGCTTAGTTTAGCAGTGGCCAAAACAGTGGATCCGGCCAGACTCCATTTCCCATCACCCCCTGCCTACGTCACTGTGGCTGATTTCCATGAAGACCTCAGAAGCAGCCTGGCTGTGACGGCACAGGCCCCACGGTTTCCATGGAAACTGACCCAAGCAGTGCTGGCAGGGTATGTGGTTGGGCAGGGAGCTGCTCTGGGTCTAGGATTTTGCAGCAGTGACAGTGTGTTCCAGAACCAGGACAGAGCAAAGCTATGATCTGTTGCCCGCATGCCCTGCCAGGGCAGAGCTGCGATTTGCTGCCTACATGCCCCTGCCTGGGGAATGTGGGCAGCATATTGCAGCTCTGCCCCAGCTCTAGGCTGTGCTGTCACCACCACAAGATCCTGGCCCCAGAGCAGCTCCCTGCCTAGACACATGCCCCGCCAGCACTGCTTGGGCTGGTCTCCAAGAAAACTCTGACCCCATGCTGTCATGGCCCCACTGCTCCTGGAGTCTCTATGGAAACCAGCTGCAGTGACACGGGCAGAGACTACTGGGAAGTGGAGTCTGCCATGGCCAGATCTGGCCCATGGGCCAGATTTTGCCCACCCCGATCTAACTCCATCCTCCTTGTAACCCCCCTTCAGGTACTTGAAGGCTGTTGTTAAATCCCTCCTCAGTCTTCCCTTCTCCAGACTAAATAAGACCAGTTCCCTCAGCCTCTCTTTCTAAGTCATGTTACTCAGCCCTCTAATCATTTCCATTGCCTTCTGATGGACTCCCCAATTCTGTCCACATCCTTTCTCTAGTGAAGAGTCCAAAACTGGACACAGTGCTGAATAGAGGGGAATAATCACTTCCTTCAATCTGCTGATAACACTCCTATCAATGCAGTCCAGGATACTGTTAGCCTTCTTGGCAACAAGGGTGCACTGTTGGCTCATATTTGGCCTGTTGTCCACTGTCAACCCAGAGTCCTTTTCTGCAGAGCTGCTGCTGCATCAGCAAAATAAAATCCCACAGATAAGAACATTATGGTTATGGCAAGCTGTGTGAAAGCCGATCACCAGTCCAGCAGGTATAAGAAAAGGTAAAGATGGGAAAAGGTGTTAAGTGAAGCTGGTGTCATGTGAATGTGAAGTGCCTAACAGCAGGTGGAACAGCAGGTGGTCTGCACAACGGTGATGTCTGCTAATTTGGACTCCAACTCCAAGAAACCCCCAAGGGCTGGGAGTCAAGGGGAAAAGGAAGGGGAAACTTGAGGCTGGAGTAAGGGGAAGTGTTTGTGTTCAAAGTGTTCAAAATGTATGATAATTTTTGAGGCAGTTAATTGATGCAGTATATGCAAAACCCAAGTCACTCCCAGGGAGTCTTAACTGGCTTTTGGGCTTGCTGTCAGCACTTTCTCATGACTTTGCCTGGAAATAAAGAAATGTTTCAACTTTGATGACCCAGCTCTCACTGGCTACTTATAGCGAGGAATATAAAGTAAATAAAGTTATCTGCATATTTTTGCATACTTACTTGCATGTTTTTTTAGTGTATGATAGTTTTTTAGGAAATATGATAATTTTGAGCTTCCAATAAGATAATTTCATAATTAAGACCTGGTAACATTGTCAGCCCTACGCAGAGGAGTGCAGAGTGGAGCTGGAGATGTCACTGGCCCAGTCAGCCAGGACTATGGACTGAAGCAGCTGGACTCAGGGTTGCGGGCACCTGCTGGGTGCTTTTTGAGTGCTCTATAGGGGCTTTTTTGGGGCCCCTTCCTCTGGTGTGTGGGGAAGCATATGTTACCACAGTGCTGACATTTCTTTACATGCGATCTGCCCCTTCCTTTTGTCCCACTGGCCTGTGCCTCTGCCCCCTAGGATGT